CAATTAACAAGTATTTTTAACAAAAAATCTACTATTATAAAGGGGCTAGCAAGAAATTGCCCTTACCTTCTGAAATGTGCAACTAGAGTGCTACATACCTTCATCAGCTTTCGTGAGCGGTAGAGGCCACACGCCGGCCAATGCAGCAAGAACGACAGGTAACTGTGATGAATGGCAGTCCAGCAGATCACAGTAAAACACAGTCGCCCTCTGGTGGTCAGCAATCAGTCGACAGAGCCCGACGTATGTGCGGCTAAGCAATGAACAGCACAAATATAATTCATTAATAAATATGATATTTATTTTGTCATAAGCAATGCAGCAAATAGGTGATCTATTGCACTACACCCCCGATACCATCGTTAAATGTATTTAATGGCAACTCGTATGTAAATGTACACACCAGAGAGATGGGATGACTTGTGCTGCTACAGTTTTAGAATTGAATATTGATGTTAGCAGAGACTTGAAGAACTGTTCAGCGATGCCAACCTGTAAAACACAATATTGTTGCTGTAAACAATAAGCCTACATAGTTATTAATAGCTATTAAAAAAAGCCATTATAAACCAGTGAATACTATTGGAAATGGTTATCAAATGCTGGCATTATGCTGCCACTAGAAATTTTATAAATTAGCTGAAATGATGCCAAAATAAACTAGTACTATGTAATGAGGCCTCAGGATCAAGTTTTGTTATATATGTTTCCAATTAAGTGAAATTTGGTTCAGGTACTTTGTACCTTATTATGTGATATCTTCAACTACTAAATACCATCCATTACTATGTATGTACCACTCTCCTATATAATGTTCAGTGGACACATTAGATTGTGTCAGCATACACCACTTAACATACCTCTATATGTTTACATAGTAACTTTTACATTTAGGATCAACTGGCTCAAAATTTCCATACCGTCTTTGTTTTTCGATTTAAAATCCAAATTAGATGTGTTGCTTTAAACTCAGCATCACTCAGGACAGGGCTTGCTGGTAGTGAATCCTTCTGACAAAGTAAAACTAGGTGTGGCATAATGTCAACATGGTTCCTCAAAAGACCCTGCAATAATGATAAAACATAATCATTTGCATAATGATCACTCCTCAAACAAAAATAACCTCCAATTTACGTCATAACCATAAATGATGATTTGATTTAGATCATGGTCAGAAACAATTTTGCATGATAAATCTTCACAGTTAGTCTCTGTATGTATTTATACGTAAACATTTCTTTATTGAACAAACGTGATCATAAAGGGGGGCTTATGTTGGGCTTGCGAGCCGACTCGACTGGAAGCAACAGGCTGCAATTCACTGCGACTGCAGTGCTTAGGTTGGTTGACTGCGACGGGACTGCCTGCGACTGGCTGCCACTAGTTGCTCGGAATAGAACAGTGTGCAACTGGACGCAACTAGTCGCTGCCGATCGCTTCCAGTTGCTCGAAATCCAGTTGCTTCTAGTCGAGTTGGCTCGCAAGCCCGACATAAGCCCCTCTTTACAGATCACCATTTAAGTAACACTTATGAACCCTAGTATTAATTAGTATTATAATTATTATAATTATTTAATATTAACCCTAGTACAGTATTAATTCAATGCTGTGTGATCACAACTAATAGTTCAACTCACAGCTATAAGCTTCTGAACAAGCAACTGAGGGTTAGTAAACATCTCAGATGTGACGAGTCGCTTCGCTTGACACTCCATACTCTCAATGGTTGGCTGTGCATTTCTGAACAGAAAGTTGATACTCTTCTCTAGAACTGGGGCAATGCAGATTAAGGAAACTAAATAGCAATTACACACAAACATGTACACGCCCCACGCACGCATGCACATATATAATATGAGAAATTCTATAGGTTCTATTATTCTATAAACTATTAGGTTCCTTGTTATATGTAATACAAGAAATCTATATAATAATTACACTAATACATTACTATATAATAACTTTACTATTATAGATATATTCCAAGTCTTAAATATGAGATCTTAGGCCAATTTAAATGTGCGTTAATTTGAATAGGTTCAAATGAAACTTCAATCAATTTAATCAGAGGGTAATGACAACTCGTAAAACAGATAACAACTTTATAAATGATAAATAATAGAAATCTATGCTTTTCAAAGGCATGAAAAACAAAACAAAAAGGATACATTTGTTCTTTACTTTGCTTCTCACTGGAGGTTCAGTTTCCTCGGTCATCAAATGGTCTAAGCTAGGTCGTTTGCTGGCTCTATCACAGACATCAGATGAATTACTGCTCCGCTTTCTCGTCTGCTCGGGCCAACCGGCTCCAAGACGTTGTTGCTCACCAGATGGCGTCACTGAATTATCATCATCTTGCACATTTGTTGAATCAGTAGCACAATATTCCACATGCGTTTGTTCTGCGATGCTCAATTCCTGCTGTTGATGTGCAATGGGTTTTAGCAAGGGTAGCTTAGAGTTACTGATAGCTGAGGTGCTTGGTGATTCACAAGCTTTAGCTACGAATGTTTCATTAACATGAGATGTACGTTCTTGTCTCGGAGGAGTCGATTCCTTCGCAGGCCCTTGCAGTTTTTCACTATCCTCAGAATCCACTGTCGCACATATGACTCTATTACGTTGCGATTTCTTCTTCGACGACTCACCTCTCCCTTTGCTCTGCACAAGCTCCTCATACGAGTTTTCTGCATGGCAGAAGACGTCGACCGTTAGAGGTCTGATGGGATCTATTCCAGAGCCAAAAGTTCGAGATGCGCATTCGCTTCCGCCTCCAACGCCTTGCAGTCCCGATTTCGGTACGTGGGCGCATCTCTTACGCGGCACTTTGGGACCCACATCACTGTAGTTAGTGAGCTGAGGGCTAACGGACGGCTGCTGCTGCTGCACGGACTTTCTCGCATCACTCGCAGCGCGGTTCGTTCGCTCGACGCGCGATTCCGCGCCGCGTCGCGCGGGCGACAGGTAATCGCAGGCGAGCAGCAGTCCCGCCGGCTCTCCAACATGGCCGCCGCCCTGCGGCACCGGCGGCTCTCCAAAATGGCCAGCACCTCGCTGCATGGGTGGCTCTCCAACATGGCTGCCTATACGCAACACCGACGGCTCTCCAACATGGCTGCCACCACGCAGCACCGGCAGCTCTCCAACATGGCACCACCCGCAGCATGGGTGGCTTGCTCCCGAACATGGCCACCCACGCCGCGTACGGCGGCTCTGCCAACATGGCCCCACGTTGCCAGCACCGCGGCTTCTCCACATGGCCAACCCCGGGCCGCGGCTCTCCAATGGGCGCCACCGCGGCTCTTTGCGACAACCATGGCGCCACGCCAGCAAGCATAACCGCCGGCTCTTAACTGACGCCCCGCCGCTGGCATGGGCAGCTCTCCACCATGGCCAGCCCGGCCCCCCACCAGCGCCCCCGGCTTTCCACGCTAGCCCCACCCCTTCGCCCGCACTTCTCTCGCGCGGCCCGCCCTCCGCCGAAGCCCCGCTCGCCCCGACAGAACTCCCCCTGCCATCTCCCCCCCGGCCGGCGACCCTCCCGACCCCCTCCTGCAGCCAGCGTTTCTGCGCCGCCGCCGCCGCTGCCGCGCAGTCGCCGAAAAACGCGCTCGTCTTCTTGAAGGCGGACGGCGACGGCTCCTCCTCATCTGTGATCGGCGGGCTGAGCAGCGAAGCGCCCGTCGGCGAGCGCACGTCACGCCGGAACGCGTCGCTGAGGAGCGAGCGTCTGCCCGCGCAGCAGTGCAGCGGGGGAGGCGCCGCCGCCGGCTGCGGACGCACAGGCAGCGCGGTCGCCGGCGCCGCCGTCCCGAACACACACGGCGACTTCTGATTGGCCGCCGCGACCGCCTGCAGCGGGGAAACGAGCGGACGCAGACGAGTCCCCGGCAGCGGCGACACGGCGACGGTCGGTGGCGTGAGCGTCGGCGACGGTGGCGGTGGCGCCCCCTCATGCCGGATCGGCGTTGGCGGGAGCGGTGAGACAGGGCTGAGAAGTTCGTACAGCGGCGACATCGAGAGCGGACTCAGCGCCGACTCGACGGGCGAGTCGCGCATCGGCGACAGTGGCTCCCCCGGTGGGCCCATCGGCGACGACGAAAACGCCGACACCGGCGGCGATATCGACAAGGAGCCGTCGGAGCGCGACAGAGGCGTCACCGATCGCAGTCCGCTGGTCTCCGGAGCCCTTACTTCGGTGAAGGCGTTTGCCGTGGGAACAGTTGGGGCAGGTAAGACGAGTCTTTGCGAGACACTCGGTGGTTCGTTTGGAGCGTGGCGAGCCGCTGCAATGGCGGGGATGGCCATTGCTGTTTTGCAGGGAACGCCTTGTTGCTGTCGATGTTGTTGCTGTTGCTGTTGCTGCTGTTGTTGTTGTTGTTTTTGTTGTTGTTGTTGTTGTTGTTGTTGTTGTTGTTGTTGTTGTTGACTACTTGCATTTTGTTTGCAATTTGTACCATCCTTTTGTTCAATTGCAGGCCTTTCCTCTTCTTTTTGTTTTTCTCGCACTGACGAAATATCTTTGTCCGCATCACCATTCTCAAACTCTCCTCTGTTTAATATCTTCGGCACCGGCTCGTTTTCCGGAGCGCTCTTACTGGGTTTTTCCTTCTTGCTCTTAGATTTCACTAGAGGTTTATCAGCTTCAGACTCGGAGGACAACGATTTGGACATGGCACGCGTTGTTATCCGTGGAGACAAATACGGAGGAGAGTCATGTTGCCCACTATTTGTTCTAGAATGCCGTTTGCTCAGAGGGCTCCTGTTTGTGCTCCCAATTTTCTCTGTTGAATTAACAGAATCAGTTTCGCTTTTCCCCACCTCATCTCTCTGCTCGCCGCGAGATGGCAGCACTGTCACATTATGAGTATTCTTGCCTCTGCCTGACACTTTACCGTCTATACCATCGTCCACCAAACGTCTAATACTAGCCATTCTTGTAGTAGCCATAGTGTCTTCTGTTTGTATCACAGTCTCAGCAGCCACTTCTGCTTTAAGACCATCTCCCTGGTCACTTTTTTTGCTATTTTTGGAGCGCTTTCCATTTCTATTTGGCATAGCAGACCCCTGTTTATCGGTAATAATCTTTCCAGCTGAGCGAGTGATCCGCATTGGAGATTTAACAGCTGTGGCAGCAGATGACATGCTTGCTCGGGTTATCCGTCTAGTGGGTGAAGATAACACATCACTCAGCACACCACCTACAGACTGTGGCCTTTGTTCTACGGCTGAATTCTTGGCATTCGTCTCCATTTCAGTTGTAGAAGAGTCCTGCATAACCACGGCCATTTTTATCGGAGCAACATTTCGTAGACATGCTTGTGACCTCGTGTTTCTCTTTGGCAAGTCTGCAGGTTTGGTGACCGTGGCCTGTGGTTGTGCGGCGTCCGTTTTTGTGCTAGATAGTTCAACCGCTTCGTTAATCTCAGAAATGGGGGTATCACACGGGTCCGAGGATTTTTTAATATCGGGAGGAATTTCGTGAGCAGGTGTAGATTCATCACCGTCCTCTGCGGCTGCATTGCTCTCATTGGCTGTACTTCCTTCACGACCGGTGACCGTGAATCCATAGCTGACGTATCTTCTTGTCCGTTTACGTCGTGCGACATCGGCTAGGAGCGTTTCAGTGTCCGCGACAAACACACTTGTGTCCGACTTTTCCTCTGTCGTTTCATCCGTGCAAGAAGATTCGCCAGTCTGGTGCTCCTCAGAAGCTTTGTCGTGAGTGTGGTTTCCTGCTTCTGCACCAACGTCTGCTCTCGCTTCTCTCTTTCTCCTCCTAGTAGGTACACCAACGTCCATGCATTGTACCGGAGAGACAACTGACCCAGGCACAGAAGACCCAGAGACAGAAGGGGATCGAGTCCTCACCTCGGATTCTCTCACAGGAAGCTTTCTTCCCCCCTCCTCCTCGTCTTCCTCCTCGTCCCCCTCCTCCTCCTCCTCCTCCTCCTCCTCAGCAGCAGCGATGCTTCCCTTGTCACCGTGTTCCTGTGTTTCCTTGTTCCCTTGGCTCGTTGCCAACTTCCGTCCGGGAGACGCGTCTCTAGGTGTCGACCCGGGAGCATCCCGTGCACGGTTGAGACGTGCGCAACGTTTTCTGCTTGTGGGCAGCAGCAAGGCGCCGTCCTCGGGTAGACGTCCCCCTCCGCTCGCCGGAGACGTGATGAGGGCAGCGATCGCTTTCGCCCGAGAGCGCGTCATCCTCTCATGTAGCAGGTTGGCCTCGCTCTCAGAGACGTTGGTTTCGCTTGCCGAGACGTTGGCCTCACTCTTTGAGACATTAGCTTCGCTATTTGAGACGCTGGCCTCGCTATTTGAGACGTTGGCCTCGCTCTTTGAGATGGTGGCTTCGTTCTTTGAGACATTGGCATTGCTCTTTGAGACGTTGGCCTCGCTCTTTGAGACGTTGGCCTCGCTCTTTGAGACATTGCCCTCGCTCTTTGAGACATTGACCTCGCTCTTTGAGACGTTGGCCTCGCTCTTTGAGACATTGCCCTCGCTCTTTGAGACATTGGCCTCGCTCTTTGAGACATTGGCCTCGCTCTTCGAGACATTGGCCTCGCTCTTCGAGACATTGGCCTCGCTCTTCGAGACATTGGCCTCGCTCTTCGAGATATTGGCCTCGCTCTTCGAGACACTGGCCTCACTCTCCGAGATGCTGGCTCGCTCTCGACTTCTAGTGATGACTGCCGGTCCTACGCTCGACGCCTTCGTAACCGCGGATCGTCTTGCCGGAGAACGAAGTGTCTCTTCTCTGTCGCTGCTGCCAGCGTCCTCTACCGTCATGGCGGCAGCAGCAGTGCAAGTACGCCGTGAGTGTCTCGGTCTGTTGTCGGAGAGGTTATCGGTGCTCCCAAACGGTAGTTTTGGCAAACGTGGTGACGACGTGGCAGTCGTCCTATAAATGTCATTCGTTGTGGTCCTGACAACCTCATTCGTTGAGCTCCTGGGAGCTTTGATCATTGCAGACGAACCTATCTCGTTATTTTCCCCCCGACTAACGTCGTTCGCCGCATCATTGCCTACTTTCTTCATCGCCCTTCTGCTACTCGTCTCCTCTTCCAGACTCCTGCCTACTGCCCTCTTGCTAATTTTATCTCCTGGGCTCTCGCTATCGCCACTCTCTGCATTCACACAAAGCTCCTCCTTCGCCGGTCTACAATCGGCATCTTTTGGTCTACGACTAACCTCACTTTTTGTGATTTCACCCAGGTGGTTGTTGCTCTCTGACAGCTGAGAGTGTTGTGCCTGCACAACATCTTGGCTGTTGACGGTTTCAACAAGACCGCTTCCTCGAGGAAGGCTAAGCGTCGTACTACGGCTCGCCGCTGACGCAGTCACAGCGAACTCAAGCTCACTAAAAGGAAGCACGTGCTCATTCCTGCTGGTTTTCGCCTCCGATTTTGAAGCAGCAGCTGAGCTGGGTTGAGTTATTTCATCATCCTCGTTTGACATTCCTCGCTTGGTTTTTTCCATATCACTACCAGGAGCGTTTATTTTTTCTTTGCTGTTAGACGTACTATGTGGTTTCGTTTCCTGAATCAGTACCCCAAACGTGGGCACGTTATCCTCTCCAACGTTATTAGTTACAGATGGTGTGTCATCTAACCAAGCTTCTAGTGAGCTCGGCTGTCTGTTCTGTGTGCTAAGAAAGAGCAATTGTTCCATATCACTCGCAAGTTCGCCTTGCCTATCGTTAAGCACTTCATCGCTAACCACAGGTGCAGAATAACCCTCGGCGGTTTGCCTGTCCAATATTGGTTTCTGAACGACGTTCTCAACAGATGTCCGACTCTGCACATCGGCAGTGCCTGCGTCGCTCTCAGCTTCCTGGGAATCCACAGCATCCTCTGCAATGCATTTCTCATTGCCGTGCAAAGCCACTCCAGCATCCTCATCTTCTGTGACACAGCGCTGTAGCAAAAAAGCAGATGACAACATTATTTCATCAACAAATTTATTTCATCAAGTCCTCGAAATTGATATGTGATACGCAAAATATTTTTTATCGGATTATGACAGAACCTTGAAAGCAAGATTGCATTCTAAACCTAAAGTATTCCACATGCAAATAGTTCAAACTATTTGCCAGCTTGAAGTACAACACACTGAACCTCAAGATAAGCGTAATATTAAGTACAGCCAGTTTGCGAATCAACCTCTTATTATATATTTATATTATTTTTAAATTATATATATTATTCATATTTTTTTGTTTGTATGTTTGTTCGGTTACTTTATTTTATACTGGACTCAAGGGTTTTAAATCCACATGAGTAGAAACCCACTCCAGGAATCTGGCTCGGTCCAGTTTTTTTGGCAGTTCTTATTGCACAATTTATTTGAAGCAGATTTTTACGACTGTATGCCCTTACTAACATCAACCCGTGACGGGAAGTTATATATATATATACATATATTATTTATTTATATTATATATATATTATAATTTTTAATTGCAAAGGAGGATATCGTGACCCTACTTTAGGTCAACCTACTTTAGGAATAGGTGATGGCGGCAGTGGCGAAATTGGACAGTACAGGTCACATCTGAATAGATTGAAGGAGAACCCTAGCATCTCATCCTCATTCGTGTCTGCCTCCTTGGTGTCTGCCTCCTTGGCGTCTGCCTCCATGGCATCTGCCTCCTTGATGTCCGCCTCTTTGTTTGCGTTCTTCTTAATTGCCTTCCCCTGCTTTTTCCCCCGCTCCAGCTGTTGCTCCTGATGATGCTGCTGCTGCCGATGACGCTTTCCAAGGGTTGCCACAGAAACCCCGGGCATGTTCTGCTGCTGCTGCTGCTGCTGCTGCTGCTGCTGCTGTTCAAGGTCAACATTGTGAACTCCGGGCATGTCCTGTTCCAGTAGCAGGCTCTGCAGTCTGTCTGCATCTTCTGAATGAAACATGATCACTGGACTCATTAACACAGTGCATCATCCATCATGCACAACACTTCTGTGGGTCCTAGTTCTAGATGCGGGTTTATGCTATATTTTGCTATATTATGCCAAGGGAGTGATTATGAAACTAGTGTAGTAGCTAGTAGCTAGTAGCTGGTAGTAGGGTAACAGCTGCTAACTAGAAATTCACAGAATCTTAATCAATTGCACTGGGATTTGATGGTAATGCCCAATAAGGTGACACTATACTACCACAATAATGACGTAAAAATTATTATTATTATTATTATCAATATTATTATTATTCTATTCATAAGAAAAGACCATAGACAAAAAAGCAACTCACCGTCACTGGTATGCTCATCATGTGAGCTTGCACGAACTCCTATATTCTCTCTAATGCCATGCTGTCCTAATAGTGACAACGCTTTTCCCTGCCACCTCTATAGACGAATAAACGAAAACAATATGGATTTGAATGCATAAACAAAAGCCACAGTCACAACTCAGATGATGTACATGCATATGCAGGCATTTGCAAATACGACCCACGTATACAGGCAGTAAATTAATTGCTTTACCTCACATTGATGCCCTGAACAACACTACGATCAGGTATGCATGCATTTTTTAAACACGTTTAACCTTGCTGCCCATACCTTGGCAGAGAACATGAGTATACTCATGTATGGGCAGTGGCTTTGCATGAGGTCGATAGATGCTGCTATGTATATAGATGTGGCTAACAACGCATTACCTCATGCCACCTGCTCATCGACTGCCATCTAGTTGTAAAGGTTCTCGTAAGAGAAACGTTTCCCCACGCAGCCCTGCATGGCCGACATTGATTTTCATCTATCGATTGCCGGACAATAAAGATTCGACACTCAAAATTGGCTGCATTTACCATTAAAGTGATACACGCAAATTCTCAACATGCATACATCGAGATGGTGCCTAATTTGTGTGCTGCAACCAGAGTCCGCTGGAAATAACACACACCTGAGCTGTACACCGTGACTAGGCCTGTTTCGTGGCGTACATTACCAGCAACCATAGAAATATATAAACACACTAATAGAGTCTAAACTAGTATATTATTTCTATGCAAGCAACCTACAAACACTATATGTCCAGCTGCCTTTCCTCCTTCAGACTTTTTTTTCTTGATTAAAACTAGTCAACTAGTAAGTCTGAAGAGCAGCCATCCAGGCGCCTAACTCAACATACTAAAAGCTATTTTTTAATTGCTTAGCACATATGTCTGCTTATCACAAACAACGTTAGAGCGAGCAGCAGCACGCGATCATTATTTGAGTCGGCGCACGAGGAAAAGTTCTCATCTTCAGCGGTTTATTATCATGTGCACAAAATGCAGCCCTGCCCAGAATGTCATTAAATCTTTGGGTTTCGAGTCTTTGTTTACTGGATGAATGCTACGTAGATTGCAAATGGAAATCAATGATCTTTACTACTTTACGTCTCACGTTATTGAGCTAGTAGTAATATTTTTAAGATTTAATATAGACTACAACCCGACTACAGAGGTGCTAAATGAGGAACACGATACAACATTTAGGATAACGATAAGGGGTTCACATGCATGAGAACATGGGTATGTGAGTGATCATATACGCATGTTCGATTTAATGTTGTTGCTCAATGGTTACTCTATAGGTTTTAGAAATTAACTAAACATTGCCTGAACATCCCTCACACTCAACCCACTGCTTTAGATTTATGGACAGTCTACAGTATATTCAGAAAATTGAAATTTACCTCCAATCTTTTTATTTTTCTTTGTAACTTGGCATTTTCTTTGGACTTCTCACACAAACCTTTTTTCTTTATTTCCATCTCATCTGTAAGCATGGAATGCACAAATTATGAAATGTATTTAAATCTAAAGTACGTATTAAATGTTAACATATTAACATGATAATATGCAACTGCTTATTTTTCTAGTAACTTGAATTGTTCTGTCAATATCATTTCATCAACATAAGAGATTATAGTGAGTATTCATTAACATTCGTGATAGAGAACTAAGGTACAGAATGTGTTTCAAAATACCTAATAGTGCATGTAAACCAATAACATAACACCCAAAATACCTATCAATAATGTACCAATAGCACCAATAGAGCATATCTAGCCTAGTCCAAAGTTCCATCCACGTTACTTGATAAGGTTTCTATACAACTTTATGCGACTGGCTAGCAACGAAGCTACAAACGAAATTCTGCTGAAGATACAGAAACCTGCACGAGTAAGCAACTCAGGATCAGTGTGTTGACTATGAGTGAGAGTTGCTGGCCTCTGCTTGTTGCTGGCCTCAGTCTGCTCATATGGACAGGTAACACCACCCCGACCACAGCAGGAACACCAGCCCGCAACCAGCATGTGGGGACCGACAGGGGTGCTAGCAGAGGTCACGCCATCACATCACACCAGAATGAGACAACGCGCACTACGTTAGACACTGCGTTGAAGGTGGAAACTTTATTCGAAGCACCCCAACAGCGGGCGTCATCGTCATCACGCGACGTTACTAGAACAGCCGACACAGACGGCCGGACGTCGCGGCGATTCCATCATGACGCGGATGTGACGCACAATGTCGACGTCGCAACATCAATGACGGAGCTGCACGCAGCTTGTGACCCGGTGTTTGTTGACATCGACCCCGACCTCGTACAGCAAATGGAAGGTGCATCGGCGAGCTTTCGTTGCCTCGTGCTATGCGAAGATGCCTCGACGATAGAGCCGATCGTGCCCGTTTACTGGATTCTGCCCGGCTGTGACGCATGGTACAACGGCAGCGACCCCACCGTGACCTTGAACGCGACCACCGGTGACCTCTACATCGGTCGCCTCGAGAGACGGCACGCGGGAGTGTACACGTGCACCGCTGAGTCCGCGAACGTGACAGCCATGGCAACGCTCAAGGTGCTCTGGGTGCCCGACTACCTCAAGGAGCTGGGATTCATGCTCGTTCTCATCGCCGTACTGGCCATTCTAACAGCGCTGATAGCTTATTACATCCACGCGCGGGATAGCAAGGTATTGAAGCAGGTACTGAGTGCAATGCCGCCAGAAGTAGACATGTGACCGTCACGTCAGTCAGCGTCACGTCATAGCCGTACTGGCCATTCTAACAGCACTGCTAGCTGCCTACGTCCACGCACAGGAGGACATCAGGTACTGAGCGGAACGCCGCCAGAACTGTCAGTAGACATGTCTGCATCACGTCAGGGTTCGTAGTCAGGCGGGATGCTTCAGTGGAGAGACAAGCAGCTATCCTTATATTTCTGGTCGAGTTCACACGAGAAACATATTCACGAGCAAACATATTCCTCGACAAGATAAAACACGGTGAACCACAAATGGCTGTTTTACGTGTATTTAGAGCAACTGGAAATGTTGAACTGCGTTATAGCTAAGATGCCTATTCCATAAAAACCTATTTCTGCTCATTTTCATTGCAATTCACATAGGTTTAGTACCAAATAACAGTAGCATAATATCAGGAGTACATACATTTTTGTGCAAAGTACGGCTGTGTTCATGCAGTCGTCATAGTATTACTGCTTGTAAGAATATAAACGTCTCTAACATACTTACAACATAACAAAACTCTAACATAGAACTAGTTTATGGTCCCGGGCGCTTCAATGCGTTCTGACATTATTACCGTTCTTATGCACGTATTACAATATAATCTCCTGCTCCTGATATAACTATATCTGTTTTTTTTAAATTATAATGCATTGTGCATTATAGGATAACTATGCTACACTGTGGAAGCAGTAACTTACTTCGTGTGTGAATGCGTGCATGCGTGCGTGCGTGCGTGCGTGTGGGCGTGCGTGCGTGCGTGTGCATGTGTGCGTGTGTGCGAGTGTGTCACGACGGAATAAATGGCTAATAATATGGCATAATGGCACAACTCAGGTATTTTTTTCAACATATTAGTAACAATTGCACTTATAACGCAGACGCCTGAATTACAATGACTTTTGTGACACAACGATTTTAACACGGGTTGCAAATATTAGCATCACCATCACTAGTGGGCAGCAAACACGCACAATTAAATCACCAAACACATACATCACGCCAGAATAAGCTGTTTACCTCGAGTCTACAGCCACTAATAAATACGTTGTCACTATATATAGACGTACTCTGCTCGTAGATTATTATCTTACAAAACCACGATATGTTTATTTACACGCGGGAAAATTAAGCATGCATGTCATTACTTTAGCTGGGCGAGGATCTGTCTTGCGCATACAGCTAAGATGAGACTTGTCATGTTGCTAATGCACATCTCTGTTCAGCGTCTGATAAATCTCAATGCGACAGCATGCATGGTAGGACCACCAATATCTTATAACAGTTATATGAAGTAATAAAGCAAAACCGTCTAATGAAAGAACGGGTAGTGTTGGCAGCTGCAGTAATTAATTTCACAACGATTCAGCAACAGGTGTATAAAGAACTCGCTCAGCTGGCTTCTGACTTCAACTGAAATGTCAGACATGGTCGCAAGTGGTCTACTCCGTCACATACATCATATACGATTATTTATCTGTTTACATTTGTATTATCAATCCGAGAAACTTGGTTAGTTTTGCACAATATTATTATAAGAATTAATTATATTTATTGTGAATAAAATGTCTGATTTTAAACACATACGCATGAGATGCAAGCGGGTTAATAACCTAATATAGCATTGTTCGCTAATAAACATTCCGAGAACTCCGCCACTGTGCACATGTAAGCATATACGCAACATTTCATTTATCAGAAGAGATTGCAGGCTAGCGTGAGGTCTATTGTAATGGCAGCGTATTATATGCGGAGTAACTCCAAGAAGCAGTAATACATCAAAAGGCGTGATCGATTGACGTATTGACGTTGGTCTCGCAGCCTGTCATGCCATACGCTAGCTAGTCCTGCCCTCCGCGAGGCATACCATGGGCAGCCACCCACCCACCACGACAACTGTTTTTGCCCACCCTAAAGAAAGCTGACCGGACATGCAGGCAATATATGTTCAGGAGTGTCATAATATTCCGGAGTGTCATCTATATTATGACACTCCTGCTAAGTGCATTCATGGCTTACTTTTTAGGTGAGACAGTGCGGCCCGATTCCGTCTGTCCCTGAAAAAACAATATTGATGATTTAGCACGCAATCATAATAGTGGTGTAACAACCGGACAGCTGCCTGTGTGTTAGCCACAGCAAGACTTTCTTTGTATTGTGCAGCGAGCTTTCACCTGATGTAGGTTTAGCAGGAGTGTATGATAATATAGTGTCAAAGGTGTAATAGTCTATTGTCTACTCTTGTCTACTATACCATTGTCTCATTATACTCGGTGTATAATGTAGTACGTATATTAATATAGTATATAGTATATATATATATATAGTCTATATTATACACTCCTGGGTTTAGCACATTGTTGTGGGTGGGTTTCAGAGTGAGAAATCATTCTTCTCGTGGATGCGATACCGTCGCAGTAGTCCAATCGCACATGTATTCCCCCTGCACCAGCCCGACCAGGCTCTACGGCTGTTTCACGTAGTAGGAGTAGTGCCACGTAGTAAAAAGCGAGAATGAAGGTAACTTGTGGCTAACCGGCCTGCACGCGCTTTCTGCAGAGTTGTTACGTATAGGTGCAACAAAACGTCCAAGGAGACCTCCAGGGATGGAGATTTCTAGCGAGGGAGATTTCTAGCGAGGGAGATTTCTAGCGAGGGAGATTTCTAGCGAGGGAGATTTCTAGCGAAGGGCGGGGTACTTCTTTTCTTAATTCACGCGCATGGTTTTGACTTGTGGACTCTCACCCGATGAACTGCACACACACACACACACACGCACACGCACACGCACACGCGCACGCGCTCGCGCACGCGCACACGCACACGCACAGGCACACGCACACGCACACGCACACGCACACGCACACGCACACGCACCGCACACGCACACGCACACAGACACCACACACACACACAACACACCACAACAACACACACACACACAATTAGTATAATAAAATGTTAGCATTATTTAGGCGAGCCGCCAGTTCTGCAGGCCGCGCTGATGCTGATTTTGCCAATTACTGCATCATTAGAGACGCAATCTTCCACATAGAAGCCCAGTGCGGAGTTTTTGAAATTATTGAGGGAATTGATTTGTCGGCTGTGTGGCAATAAATAAACACACTGCGACCGAACTACTAGTGATGTATCATATGTAAAGCAGTGCTCATGTAAATTCGGTAGAGTGGCGCGCGCAGACTACAGCAGCTGACGCTCGAGCAAATTTTTGTATGGAGCCTCCCTCTCTCTCTCCCTCTTCTGCCCCTCTCCTCCCTCACGTCCCTCTCTCCCTCTCTCCCTCTTCTCCCTCTCTCTCTCTCTCTTCCCTTCTCTTCTCTCTCTCTCTCTCTCTCTCTCTTCTCTCTCTCTCCTCTCTCTCTCTCTCTCCTCTCTCTCTCTCTCTCTCTCTCTCTCTCTCTCTCTCTCTCTCTCTGCCACACACAAAAAGGCCTTCAAAACATATGGGAGAGACTTCAGATGCATTATGCAGTGCATGCGTCATCATGCAACAACTCGCGGTCACGATACGTTCATGCTGATGTCCCGGAATTTATCGAATCAAACGTCATTATCTGCCTAAATCAAAAGCTTTTTCCGAAAATACTCATTCGCGTTTCGTTCGTGTCTGCGAACTTGAAAGTATTCAGTTACACAATATGTTGCAGCCGTGCGGTGAATTTATCGACAAAGGGAAATCCACTGTCATGCAAAGGTAATTCATTTATATATCCTCCTATCCGCTACTGCTCATATCAGGCTCTTCCCGACGCAAAGTTAAAACCAGTAGGTATACCACACAGGTTATACCGTCAGGAGTGTATAGTGTAGAATCAGGAGTGAATAATAATAGATTATTATCTATTATTCTATTATTATTCATTCCCGATAGAAGTTCATATTAATAGTCTATATTATACACTCCTCATACCGCTGTGGTGAGAGAATGTTGTCGTACACTACACCCTAGCAGTCTACACCCTAGCAGTCTACACCCTAGCAGTCTCTAGCAGTCTACACCCTAGCAGTCTCTAGCAGTCTACACCCTAGCAGTCTCTAGCAGTCTACACCCTAGCAGTCTCTAGCAGTCTACACCCTAGCAGTCTCTAGCAGTCTACACCCTAGCAGTCT